GTTGAGGGACAGGATTCTCGAAGGGGAAGGGGGTTAGAATGGGGGGGTTGTTGGTTCAGCGTATTGTTTCTTTCTCATGACATGTGGCATTAAAATGGTTAAGGGGGGGGGTAAATTTGCTCTTTTGCCCTGACAAACGTATTTACGTACTTGAGTTCTGTTCTGTACATAAGGCTTGATGGTCGGGGTTTTAGCGAAGAAAATGGAAGGAGGGTTTGTTTACTGGGCGAGGATTACTGTTGTTTATCTAAGGGGGCCAGGAGGAAATAGATGAGATTCACAAAATTGTTATGTTTAGTGATACGCCACGTACTATGGTAAAGGCCTTACATCGACTTCACATGTCCATATTAACCGTCTACAAAACAACCCATTGCTCTTTCTACTTCCCCTTTTTTCTCAGTCATCTTTCACATACTCGATCCGCTCCCTACGATCGAGATGAGATCCCCGAAAGAAGACCATCCGTCCCAGATCTCACCCCTAGCGGTAAATCGTAAACCTTTTCGAGGCTCCCAGGGCCCCTACCTAAACCTTAAGTTTCTATTCGCAGATGACCGATCTCACATGTCCCTCTCGGCTACAAGCATTCTCCGTCGTCTTTATTTCCCCTATAACGAGTACGATCCCCTCCCATCCCCCACACGACACCCCCAAACCATCACTCTTTGTCTTCCTCTAAAAGCCACTCCCTAGATCCCACCGAACCCGTCACCTATCCTCAAGCCACTCTCACGCCGCCCTTTTCAAGTATGCTCCCACTTTCCAACAGTCTCGAGGCTCACGGAACTTGCCATTTTCTTTGTTAGTTGGTTGCCACTTCCGCGCCATGGAAACCGCGGGCATGGGGTAGGGTAAAATGTCACGATATAGGGTGTCAAAGGACGGGAGGGGGAAAAGGTCAAGGCGATGAGGAGCCACAGTGTCGGGTGGGACTTCCTTTGGGGGGGATATAAGGATAGAATTATTGCACAAAGGATCAACTTCCCGCCAGACATATATCCGGGGGGAACAATAATCCTCGTGCACGCCTTGTACCCTCAAACCCAGTTCATCAGGGGGAAGGCCGGGCCAAAAAAGAAAGTGGCTTCTTCACCTTATCCCCCCCGGAGCACCAGCCTCCCAAATTAAGCAAAGATTCCCCCGGGGGGGTAGAGTGCGAGAGGCATTCCAAAGAGAAAAAACCCCAGGGGACTCTCCCAATGAAA